CTCATTTGTTGGGACGGGAACGCGCTTGAATGGCCACTTTTCCGTCAATGCTTCATCACCGAGGTGCTCAAACATCCCGCTGTCACGTAACAGCTGTGGGAACAACACAGACAGTGGCTCCAACTGCCTGTCTCGACAAATTGTTGGGTTGCAGTCAAGGATCTTCAGCAACCTCTCCTTTAAGAGCGCGACGACTGCTATCCAGTGCATTTCCTTGACCAGGATGATGCAGTAAACACTTTTAACCTTTGCCCAACTGTGGCCATATTTGGCCTTGTCCCCCATTACATACTGCATCATCCTGTCATCAAACTTAAAATCATTAGGGATGCAGTCCAAGTCTTCTATGCCCGATCGTTTTCGCTTGCCTCCTTTTGCTACAGATGTACCAATGGCCTTTTTCAATAAATTGCGATATGTCGATACCAACGTTTGGCCAAAGGCCACATCAGTGATGGCACAATCGAGATACAGTAGATCACCATTGCTGGTTTGTCGTAGCCTCATCAGTGCCAATACCTCATCGATGTGCTGCATCAAATAAAAACAACATGATAAGTATACAATACCTCATGAAAAACATAAGCAAAAATAAGAAAAATTAAGCGAAAATAACTCACTGAGTCGTGAAGCCAGCTGCCCATCGTCAAAATCTTTTCAAACCAATCCCGAGAATAATCCTCGGTCTTACACTTTACAAGGACATCACTTCTGGATTCATTGTAATAGGCATAGAAGGGTTTTTTCTTTTCCTCCTCTATTAGCCTATACAAATCGACAGTGGACTCCATTTTTGTTTGCCCGCTTCCTCCCCCTCCCTCCATTTGTACGTCCCCGCTTCCTTCGCCTCCCACCTCAACCTCCTCCATTATAACTGCCCCAATTCCTCTAGCAAACTCTTTCACCCCCTCAATTTTGGCTTCTTCCTCAATTTGTTTCTTTGTTTTCCTTTTAATTCCACATGTTAGTACGGTGTAAAGTGATTTCACAAACCTGCTCTTTCGGCTCTCTCTTTTCAGCCTAGGTTGTACTTCAACCGCCTTCAATACTCCACCAACTTCCTCCTGCACCTTACCAACTTCCTCCTCCACCCTAACAACTTTCTCTGCCACCTTATCCACTTTCTCCTCCACCCTTTTCAACTGCTCTTCCATCTTATCAAACCTGCCATAAATAGCTGTTGTAAAACTATCAAACAAACTGTTTATGAGGTCAACCACCTGACTCTCCCAACCTCGACACCTCAGCAAAGCGGTACTTGTTGTACTGGTTTGCTGACAAGTACTGGTTTGCTGAGGCATACGAACCTCTCCCTCCCTCCCCTCCTCCTCCCTCCTCCTCCCTCCCACCGATTGCGGCTTCATCCTCCTTGGCATCAACCACATTCTCAAGCAGTGGCCCTGCAACTGCCCTCACATGTGTGACCTCTTGTAGCTCCCACGTCAGGCGGTCTATCCCTTCATCCCTTTGATCCTTCAGTGCTCGGAAAGATGTGACATAGTGCTATTGCGCTTCACCCCCAGTAGCGGTGAGGAAGGGACGGACAACCCCTTGCAATAAGAAACAAAATCAATCAGATTTAAGCGACATTTTAAAGCAAGTGCATATTCAAAAGCTTAATCCTTAAATCTTACCCGAACTGATTGAATTTCAATCTCTATTTTCTCATAATCCCAATGGGTACACTTCTGGTCGTGCCACCGCAACATCCTAGGAAATGTCTATTGCACAACCGAAGCTATAATCCTCCCCCTACCTTAGCCAGGACAGGGATGGCCTCATACATTCAAGCCTACATTGTAAAAAAACAGTCCATATCATAATTCAAACACATATATTAAAAAAAATATAACAAAAACCTATTAATATTTACCTGCATTGCCCATGGGAAGCCAAACAAATTGTACGTTGCCTTTCTTTTCTTCTTTTTCCATTGGGAGTGCTTTTATGTTAGGTCTTTTGCTTGCAGGGACTCCATGGTTCGCTTAAATGATACCCGTCCCCATGGATAAGCATTAAAGAAGTTCAAGTTGCTTACAAACTTCACCCAATCAATATCAACGGCTTTTGTTGAGGCACCAGCCATTAGGATTGAATGTAAGAACAATACCAAGCATAGTTTGAACGTCTCTGAATCGTTAAACTCACCATCTTTTAACCTGTCCTCTAATTCATGTGCCTTAATAGACGTGTTCCCTGCTAAAACCTTGTTAGACAACCTTTTGGCTCCCGTACTATCCTTTATTCTTTTTTCCTCAACCTCACCTGGCAATTCTCCACATCTTAAGCCAGTCACCAACGCATATTCCATCATCCCGAAACGTAGTGGCTTTCCATCCACTACGAACCACATTTCGTGCTTTTTGTTGCTTTTTATTGAGTGCTGCAACATATAATGCACTCCCAATCCCCAGAATGTCTTTTTCTATTTTGTGTACATATCCCAAAAATGACTGAAACAAGTCTCTTTGAATCTCCTTTCACCATTCCTCACTGTCCCTAAAATCCCCGTTATTCTCATTAAAACATCCCAACTTGACCTCACTGTCACCCTCACATGGAAGTATGGTACCGTATCGCTTACATACTCCAATCCGTACTCTCTATAGTTTACGCTCCAGAAAATCTGCACAATCGATATAAACAAAATATCAGCAAAAAAAATTCAACCAAATCAAATATAAACAAAATACGCTCCGGAAGAATCGCTTAAGCGATGGGCAGATGATTCTGCCTCATACAAGATCTCTTAAGCGATCTGAAATCGCTTAAGAGACGAATCGCTTAAGCGATATAGAAGATCGCTTAAGCGATTCGTTGATTTTACTCTTAGTCGCTTAAGCGATCTCTTCCGAGGCAGAATCAACATCTGCCCAGATCTAAGATCGCTTAAGCGATCTTTTATATCGCTTAAGCGATTCGACGCTTTTACTCTTAAGCGATACAAAGGATCGCTTAAGCAACCAAGAGTAAAAGAGATTCATCACTTTTACTCTTGGTGGCTTAAGCGATTACATATTACTTAAGAGATCTTGTACGAGGCAGAATCAACATCTGCCAGATCTAAGATCGCTTAAGCGATCATTTATATCGTTTAAGCGATTCATCGCTTTTACTCTTAAGCAATCCTAAATAGCTTAAGCGACCAAGAGTAAAAGCCATCAATCGCTTAAGCGATACAAAGGATCGCTTAAGCGATCTTAGGTCTCTGCAAGTACAAATACCTTTTCTTCGGCGGCCTCCTCCTCCGCTGCCTCCTCCTCTTCCTCACCTGAACTCTCGTCGGACTCCTCTTCCTGGCCTGAATTCTGCCCAACCTCCTCTTCCTCTTCAGAACTGTTTTGCTCCTGTTCTCTCTCTTGTTGTGCCGCCGTCGTCTCCGCTGCTGGAACACCTTCACTGATCGGAGGATCCACCGGAGCAGCCATTGAACTGCTTGCGCCGCCGGACTCTACGATTCGAAGAGGCGTTGGGTTTTCCTCCTCATTGTGAAAGTCAGCCATGGTTTTCGTTGGGTTTTCCTCCTCATTGTGAATGTCAGCCATGGTTTTAAGAAAGGAAGAAGCTTTAGGATTGAATTTGGGTGTGAAAATTTGTAGGAATGTGGACTGTTATTGCCGGAAATTGCACAGAATGCATTTAGGTATTGAAGATATCGATTTTTGCCTTAATTGGTTTCGATTAAGCGATTTGAATGGGTGGGGCTCTTTTTCAAATTTCAAATTTTAAAAACTATCATTAATTATAATTTTGTCCTTATATGTTTTAATCTTTTCATTTTAACCCATTTTACATGTTTAATGGATCCTAATTATGCCACGTCAGCTTCTCTAAATCCATTTTCTTAAATCGAAACTTGGGATGGCCGGTCAGCTAAATTTTCTCCACCAAATATAGCCATTATTGGATCAACTTTTCTTTGGATTCTACTTATCGATAATAATTAGTTGTTTCTAAAACTGCAGAGAAATAAAGGGCTCCTTGTTTTGGGTTTGTTAATTTAGTGGGCTGAGGACGGCTCAGGTAGACGTGTCCATATATTTCTAAAGCTAAATTTTCTCCATCAAATATAGCCATTATTGGATCAACTTTTCTTTGGATTCTACTTATCGATAATAAGTAGTTGTTTCTAAAACTGCAGAGAAATAAAGGGATCCTTGTTTTGGGTTTGTTAATTTAGTGGGCTGTGGACGGCTCAGGTAGATGTGTCCATATATTTCTAATCAATGTATATTTTAGTACATGAATTTGCCATCAACAGCCACGTGTTCTCTCTTAAGCCACATGTGAATTATTCCGTGAAGAAACTGAAAAGTTCAAGGCATACACATGTGAATTATTCCGTGAAGAAACTGAAAAGTTCAAGGCATAAGATTTCTGGTTATGTACATAAAAGTTCATTAATTGTGCTTCATCACATTTTATGGTCTCCTTTAACTGAAAAATTTTCTTAGCTCTCTCAAACTCAGGCCTTCCTTTTTTCTTAACAATTTCAATTAATTAGCACAGGGCGACGAATTGGCCTTCCTCACATCATAGGTACATCATCTTTGTAAATCTATTCTTTCACCTATTTTTACTCTTGATTAATTTTCTTTACATTAGATAATGATCTTAGTTCAAAACATTCTTTTTCTGAATAAAATGCATAAAACATTTATTTGTGTAAAGTTATACTTTAGTTAGCTAATATACTTATATATATATACAGGATCAATCTTTTTTTTTTTTTTCATGTTTTCTAATACTTGTATACTTGATGTTCCAAATTATTGGTTAAATAAATGAAAGCATTTCATGGTTTTTTTTTTTTTTTTTTTTTTTTTTTGGTGGGATAAAAAATGTTTTTTTTTTTTTTTNTATAGTTAGCTTCATATACATACATGATCAATTTTTTTTTTTTCCTTTTTCATGTTTTCTAATACTTGTACACTTGATGTTCCAAATTATTGGTTAAATAAATGAAAGCATTTCATGGGTTTTTTTGTAGATCAAATAAGATGAGTTCATGTTTTCCTCGGAAGGATGATAATAATTCGAAGAATGGGGCAATGTTACTGAAACAGTTGATTGCCACTTGTAATGGCAAATGTAATCCTATTCGTAGTTTCTCCGAGAAAGAGCTCAGGAAAGCAACTATTAATTATGACAATCAAAGATTAATTACAACAAATAAAACATTTTATAGGTTGTACAATGGCTTTCTACAAGACCGTCAGATTTGTGTTATGAAGTTTGAACCCATTTGCTTCCCACACGAAGAAGAAGTAATCCAACGGGGCATCAATAACATTGTATTTGCAGCACAAATGAAGCATAAGAATTTTCTGAAGTTGATCGGATGTTGTTTAGAAACTCGAGTTCCCATTCTAGCTTTTGATTCCGTTGGATGTATTACACTTGCTGATCATATTTTGGGTCATTCTCAACCCCGTCTTGGACCTTTATTGTTGAAACTTAGGTTAAAGATTGCAATGGAGATAGCTCATGCACTTGCATATCTTCACCTTGGATTCCCTAGACCTATTGTTTTTGGAAGTCTCGGACCATGGAACATTTTACTTGATGAGCAATATGTTGTAAAACTATTTGATTTTTCAGTATCTGAGTTTATTGCAGAGGGTAAAACTCAGTTGGAAGTCCCTTTGGTGAAAAAAGTATGGTATGAATATGTTCCACCCGAGTTTTTACCTACAGTAAATCCCAATAGGAAGTTTATTTGCAATGAGAAGGTTGGTGTCTGTATGTTTGGCGAATTGCTATTTATGCTTTTGAGTGGACTAAGCTTAAAAAACTTTCTCAAGAATAAAGGTTTTCAGATGGAGGATATTGGACCTGATAATCTAAATGAGATAATAGATCCGGTAATTGTTGGAGAGGGAATATGTTCAGTAAAAGAACAACAATTGCTAGCTCTTGCAAGGCTTGTGTCGGAATGTCTCTCTCCTGAACCAGAAGATAGGTCAAATATGATAGATGTGGCAAAGCAACTCAGAAAAATGTACAAGTCTAGCTAGCATGTCATCAGTTTATGTATTAAGGATTCTGCTTTCCTTGTTTATGGATGTGTCAGTAATTCATGCCTTCATTTCCATGGCAGTAGTTGAAAACATTCAAATAAACTATTTCTTAAGTTTTCAAGTGCAAGTAGATTTTGAGTCAAATGCCAATTTTATTGAGAGTTGCATATTAAAAATTTGAATATTTATTAAAATTTGAGGTTTATTATGTTGTATACCAAGATATGAATTCGTCAATGAAATTGACGAGTCAGTAGGTAGGGGTTTTTTTTTTTTTTTTTTTTTTTTTTTTAAATATTTCCAAATGGGTGACTTACTTTTAATTGGGCCAAATTTGTTTGGTAAATATAATTAAATTATGGGCCCGTTTGGATCGGTTTGAAATTTATTAACAAGGGTAATATTTGTTTAATTGAGCAGATTATCGTGTTTGGCATTTTTGTACAAAAACATTACCGGAAAATAAGATGACAAATAGTGTCAAAAAGGGGGTAAATCACCGGGAATAATATTACTTGGGGGCAGGGTGGCATTAAAATATTACTTCGGTAATCCAAATTTATGTCCAATTTTGCCCCAAAACAGTGGACAATGTGAACGAAAATATCCTTAGCTTTGTTAATAATTACAAAACACCCAATTTATAAAATGATAAAAACACCCCCATCACCACAATGCCAGATTCCGGCCACCACCGCCGGAATCTGGTTGGAATCTGCCTTTACGACTCAGACTGGTCGAATCTGGCAGTGGTGTGTCGATATAACCTTTTCTGACCATATCCATGAAAAGGTTAGATCTACGGCCTATGGCTAGATCTGGCCGTTGACGGCCGCAAAAGATCAGATCTGGCCGTCGTTGATCGTCAACAAAGACCATTTCTTTGCGACGGCCAGATCAGTGAATAAACAACCATTTTCAGTCATTTTTAGGCCGTTGTGATAGATTCCAGCCACCACTAACAGTGGTTGCCGGAATCTGGCAACTATGGGTGGGTGGTGTTATTTTTGTTAATTTTTAAACTTTTTTCTGGGGGTGTTTAATTAAGTTAATAAACTTAAGGGGACTAAAAGTAATTACAAAAATAGAATAGTATTTCCCAAATAATTAAACAAACAAGTATTTTGGAAATAGGATAGAGAATAGGGTTTGAAATAATAAAAAAAACAAGCCCTTAATTATTTATATCTAGTAATCATCTAAAGGGCATTCTAGTAAAAGAGTATTTTAGGACATCGGTTATTACTATCAACCAAACACATTAATTATTAATACATCCCAATAAAACCAAATACAATAATCATTTAAGCTCGGTAATCTACAATGTAATCTTTCTTTTCGGTAATCTTATTACTAAGATAAAAAAACATTATATGATCCAAACACCCCCTATATGTTTAATCAAAACTCTTTCACACTTGAAACTTTCAATGACTAAGCTAGGCCTTCAATTAAATTATATACTTAGGGGGTGTTTGGTTAGAGGCAATGAAAAATTTTCTTAGCTCTCTCAAACTCAGGCCTTTCTTTTTTCTTAACAATTTCGATTAATTAGCACAGGACGACGAATTGGTCTTCCTCACAAGTACATCGTCTTTGTAAATCTCTTTCTTTCACCTATTTTTACTCTTGATTAATTTTCTTTACGTTAGATAATGATCTTAGTTCAAAACATTCTTTTTCTGAATAAAATACATAGAACATTTATTTGTGTAAAGTTATACTATAGTTAGCTAATATACTTATATATATATATACACGATCAATTTTTTTTTTTTTTTTNAAAAAAAAAAAACTGAAAGACAATTTTTTTCTTTTTAACTTTTTTTGAATGCAAGAAATTTCACTTGAAAGTTTGCCTATTAATCACGTCAAAATTACTGATCCAAATAAAAAAAAATAAAAAGTAAAAACTTATTAATGTTCATCTTCCTAAACTAACAAGATAAATCATATCAATGGACACATTTCTGCATTTATAATAAGTTGGAACAGTGCACATAAATTCTCAACTGCCCACAACACAATTTTATTTCCATATTTTGGCTTCGGAAAGCTGTGCTTCATTCACAGCTTGGCAGCCATTTTTGGCTAACTAACAATATGATTTTTTTTCATATATTTATCCTAAACAAGGCCATGCCTAGCTAGCAAGCTTCAGATCATGGACTCACAAAAGAAGAGAGCAGCTTCAATAGTACTAACTTGAAGATTTGTCCACAGAAAAAGAGAGGAAGACCAAAGAAAAAGATAAAAAAAAATGAAATGGAAGAATTTAACTCTGGTGAAAGAGTAGCTGGGGTTGATGAGGTAGTTAGTGAAGTGGTCAGTCCGGTGACACAAAACCGGCGACGAAAGGGCACGCCATGACGAGCTTCAGTTTAATCTTTTTCGTAACTAATTGAAAATTCTTCAGTAAAATAGGTATATGTATATCTCTCCAATTGAGAAACTTACACAGTTTGTGACATTCTGTGTCTTGTTTAATGATGTATTCTTGTGATAAACTGATAATAGAATGATAGATTAATAAAAAAGAGTTTAATAAAATCACATATTCTCAGAACATCAAATCTTCTTTTGTAGGCAATCTGTTGAAAAAATTTTGAGGTAAAGCAGGAATATTAATCCTAAATGTTGGAGGCCTCATCACAAAACCTCCTGCAAGAATGAGCATAATCCTAAGAGGAATAAAATAAATCACGATGGCAGCTATTAAACAAAATAATGTGAACATTGCAGTGGCTCTTGGATCCCTCCAGCTCAGAAGAGACCACAATCTCTCCAATTGAGTTGCCAAGTCTCCAAGCAGCATCACCATTCTTGTTCCGATGATTCTCAATCGATCGTATCGCGCCGTTAAGATCTGGCCTTGTTTGGAAGATGGGAATGTGTCAAACTCTTCATCTAGTTCATCAGGATGTGCCTTGTGAGCATATGATAGTTTAATGTCCATGTGGGGAGGGAGCCTAGGCCTCCTTTTGTACTTGAAAATGCCAGTGCCAAATAGGAATAATAACAATGTGGGCAGTATCATTTCAGGGAAATAAATCAGAATTGCATAGATTAAAAATACTACAATTGTTGTTGTGGGACTCTTCCATTGGCGAATTCCATTAAACCATCTCCAAGCTGCAAGAAATCCAGTTAAAACTCCTGTGATTCTTGCAAAATTTGCTTTGCCTCTTCTCAGGCTCCACGTTTGTGAGCCTAAATCAAGAACATACTCCACAACTTCCTTTCTTAATGGTGGCTCAGCCCTGCTCAGCTGCAAGGATAGCGATTGTGCCGCCTGGTGCCTTAAACGCTCGAGCTGATTAACTGAAAACGGATGAATGTAATGCATTTTTGGCAGGAGAGGTTGAGTGTAAGTTTGAAGGAGATTGAATAAAGAAGAGCAAGTGAATCTCACAGCCAGTTGAATTTCTCCCATTTTTTTCACCCCATTGGGATATAAGGCTACCATAGGATAAGAATGTGTGTAAATTCGATCAGTTTTGAGTGTCGATAACCGGATTCTCACTTTCCCAATTCTTGAATCCTTTGCTTCTCCAGGTTGTAAATGACAATTATCAAAAACTACAAGTGTTAAAACTGTGTAAGGATCATAAACTTCCCAGTTGTATTGCTCATTCCAATTCGGATCAAAACTGTCCACAACAGTCCTTGTTCTCACCCATTTGTTGCCGTATTTTGCCACACAATATGCATCAGTAGTTCCATTTCCGAATTTCGATTTCATTGGCAACAACCCTTTAGCATTCAAAATTCCCAGTTCTATAACCCCAATTGCAGGAGTCCATAATTCCTTCATTGTGGCTCTAAAATCACTTGTTTGTGAAATTGCTTCATCAAACACATGATAGCCGCCGTCCAATGAAACTCTCAAACAAATCCTGCTGGCGAATTTCACATCTTTGAGATCTTCAGAATTAGTTGTATCAACTCTCTCAAGATTATGCCATTCAGCCGCCACCGTTGTGGGCAAGAAACTCTTCTCCGCCTTCGCTAAAGGCATCACTAACCTCCCCAAACAGTGTCCTGTTAGATCATCTACCTTATCCTCCACCGTCAGGACTAAAGGATCACCAAACGGCTCTGCGGCTACAAAAATCAAGTCCTCATTCCAGGACGGATTCACACTCTTATTCGGCGAAACTCTACTCCTCAAGACATTTGTCCCGAAAACTGCCCTGACATAAACTTCAGGGTCAGTCCTATTCATTTCTATAGGCACCAAATCCTGAGCTTCAATCACATTAACTCTCAGATACCAAAGTTTAGGTGAAACATATACTTTTGATCTGCAATTCATCAGACTTTCACCACTCACAGCTGCTGCATCCGAATGCCAGGCATCCGAAAACTCCTCATCTGCCTGAGTCCCCCACCAAATAGCAAACATCAACTCCCCTCTAGCCATCAAACCATTCTCACCGTCCAATTTATACCACTGTGGAGCCAATGGACTGTCTGGATGAACATGTTTAGGAATATCAGACATGTCCATCGAAATCTTCCCCAAAAACCGATCACTCGACGCCATTTTATCCTTCACCAGAATCTCCACAGAGAGAGCCTGGAGATGATTTTTGGCAAAAGCAAAGACTTGGTGCCATTCAGGATTTGGTTTTCTGTCAAAGTGACGAGTTGTGCCTTTGTAGTTCCCAATTTGGACTTCAACAAAAGGGTCAGATGTTGAATATGGAGGTCCATTTTGATTGATTGTTTCCTGCAAATCTCTGCCTTTTACTAATCTGATATACAAGAACTCCATTTCTTCAACAAGATCAAATGAAGATGTGAGCCTTTCCCTCCCGGAAACTCTCCCTTTTCCGATATTCGGCGAGGTCTCCTTCAATGAAAAGTCCTCTTCTTTCTTTTCTGGTGCCATTGTTGGATTCCCTGGAAGAATTGGAACACAATCAATTTAGAAAAAAAGAAGAAAAAAATCAAGAGTTTCTCCATAACTCTGGTGATGTTATAGACTTTCTCTGTAACTAAATACCGAAAAGCATCACATTATTTGAAATTTTATCCCAAGTTATTAATTAGAGTGGAATTTATACCATTTTGTTAGTTTTCGCCGAATTTTCTCGGAGAACAATTTCATCATATCATAGACTTTCTCTAAAATTAATTACTGAAAACCATTACATTATTCAAAATTTCATCTTAAATTCTTAATTAGAGTGAAACTTATATCAAATTTGTTAGTTTTCTTTTGGAAAATTTTCTCGGAAACCAAACAGAAAAACAGAACATAATTTAGAGGATCAAAGAATGAGTAACTATATACTCTACATAATTTCCATAGTCTTATAAATTTGATCACCATAACAGTTCAAATAAACTATACATACTTGTTTGCAATATAATATTAACATTACTTACTGAATTCATAAACGAATTGAAAATATTAAAAGCAAAAGCAAAAAAAAAAAAAAAAAAAAAAATGTTTGTACCTCAAATAAGGAGACTTTGAAGGAGAGTGGTAAGCGAAATCAAACCTAATATATTTATATATATTTTCTAATTTCTGTAGCTTGTTTGTTTGTTTATTTATTTATATATACAAGTTCGAATATAATTAAGCAAGAATCAAAAGAAAGCAATTATGGGAAATAATATATACACATGTAATTACTGAAGAAGAAGAACTAAAAAAAGGAATGTCTTGAAGAGGAAACAGAATAGAGAGGGAAATCAAGAGAGATTTTTTCTTTTCTTTATTTAATTTAATTCAATTATAAATATTATTGTATTTGATAACATGAAGATTTAGGAATGTTGCCTAATTAAGAGTTAATAAAACTTTCAAGTTAATATAGTAAAAGATATAGAAATAAATTATACTTAATCAAATAGATTTTATTCTTAAATAAAAAATAAAAAAACTTGATTTGTTTTTTTTTTTTTTTTATTTACAACTTAATCAAATAGGATTATTGTATTACGATCATCTCTTTTTTTTTTTAATTATTTTTACAATAAAAATTGAAAATAGAAATAATTTGGCGGGAATCCGCTCAGTTTGGGTTTATTTCCCTCTCTTAAAATATTTCTATTTTTCAATCTCTTTTAAACCCCTCAAGTTTGTTAATTAACTAAACCTAAAAAAATTTAGAAATTAACAAAAACACCCACCAACCCACTTTTGTCAAATTTCACCACCACCTCGAAGGTGGCCAAATAGGTATAATGGTGCACTACCAGCTAGATCTGCCGTAGTACATCGATTTCGCCTTTTTTGATCAATTCATCGTGGATCTAACGAAAATATTCAGATCTATACCTATCTTTGGTCGTAGCCAGTCTTGATGACCAAACGTGGTTAGATTGTCGTCAATGGCCGGTCTAGTCGTAGATCTGGTCTTCTGGTCAGATCCTGGTAGATCTGGTCGAAAAATGTCATATGGTGCATGACCGATCAGATTCAATCGGTCATACTCGTACACAACTTGGTCACCCTCCAATAGTGGTGGTCGAATCGATATTTAATGATGGTAAGTATTTTTATTAATTTTTAATATTTTATTATAAGAGTGTTTATAAATTAATAAACTTTAAGAATAATTTTTTGTTAATTTCTAAAACTTACGTGTGTATAACCTTATTTACTTTTGTCAAAATATTATCTGAACGTATCATAATAATGACAAAGCGCACCCAACTCCTGTAAATAAAAATATTAAAATATTAAGCAATAATTATCCACATAAATCAACACTCACAAGAAGCCCAAAAAGCAAAAATCGAAAATTAAATAAATGTATTCAGGCCAATTCGACGGAGCCGCCACCTTCTCCGGCGGGATTCTGCCCTCTCAGGCCACTGCTGCCCCGATCACTCCTTCTCCTTTCCAAAGTAACTCTCTTTCCGCCTTCCTCCTTTTTTTTTTTTTTATATTTTGTTTTTAGTCTGTTTAATTTCATAGAAAGTTGTTAGTTTTATGATTAATGCTGTATTAGTATTAATAGCGTAATTGTGCAAAGGCTTCAAAGAATTTGACAAGCTTTAATTTTTACAGTAGATTTTGTTTTTTATTGTGCTAAGATGAACTAACCGAGTTTTTTTTTTTTTTTTTTTTTCTCTACTTTGGGATTATTGAACTATTAATTGTATGAATACAATATGAGCACTATATATGTGTTTAAAGTTGATATTTTCTTGGTACCAAAATGATGGAGGAGTACTCTGTTTGGCTGCCAAGAAAATGGAGGAAAATGACTCAATACTTTTTATTTTACGGTGAGTTTAAAACATAAATACTAATGTTGCGATTGCTGAATGGTGAAAACAGAGAGAATTTTTAGATTAGACTGAGATTTAATGTAATTTCTTTTTTTCTTTAGACTATTTTTCAATGGCTACAAGGTTTCCTTAATTTTTTTTTTTTTTTTTTTTTTTTTTTTTTTTTTTTTTTTTGGTGATGTGGCAATTTTTTCTAATACATTCATATTTTGCAGAATCAAAAAAAATCGAATTTCCTGAACGTTGCTTCCTTTGACTGTGAAGCAGCTAAATGAAATATCAAGTAATGATGAATCGACTACTACAATTGATGGGGTTGACGTCAGCACTGTAAGTTTCACGGAAACTTGATTTTGCAGTAATTTTTTTTTTTTTCCTATTTTTCTTTGGTTGGTTTTTTGAGTTTGAATTTGGTTAGGTTACAATTGTTGGGAAGGTATGTGATATACAAGATAAGGAACCCCAGTTTACCTTCCTTATTGACGATGGCACAGGGCAGATTGAATGCAGTAGATGGTCAGTTTTGGCATATTATTTTTTTTCGTATTGAAGTTTAATTGGCCAGCCTTTTTCATTTAAAATCTTGATTCTGTGCCACTATTGTATTTTTGTGTTTCTGTAGGGCTCATGAACGCTTGGAGTTCAACGAAGTAAACCAAATCTCGTATGTGTCTATGTTTTTGTAGTTGCAATATCCCTTCTCCTTTATTAAAAGTTAACAATGTTGTTAGTTTTCTTATTGGGACTATGAGATGTTTTCTTTTATGTTCTTTGATCTTGTTCTGTATTTATTTATTTATTTTGGTGGGGGTTGGAGTTGAAAACAGAAATGGCTGCTGTAAGAATCTTTGCTTTCTCCAATCAATTGGATTTGGGGCTTTGAACTGTTATAGGAATTTGTATAATTACTATGTGTGCCTCGATAAGCAACGAAGGTGCTTTAGTTTTAATTTTATGTGTTTGTAATATTTTGTTAGGCAAGGAATGTATGTCCGTGTTTATGGACACTTGAGATCCTTTCAGAATAAGAGGACCTTAAATGCCTATTCCATGAGGTAATGATTCAACTTTTACCTTTGTTACATTTGTGCTGTGATATTTAATTAACCATTTTCTGATCGATTCTTTCTCCGTCCTTATCATCACTGTAACTATTACTGCTACTATTATTATTATCATTATTTTGATGGGAGGAGAGGATTGACAATACTCGGATGGCTTACCCCTCTTCCTCTCACCCCCATACTTTGTTGGGCTGCATAGTTTCTTCTTCACATATATTTAACACGCGTCTTTTTAAAAGAAAATTTACATCTCTGTTAATATATTCCATTATTGGAGCAAGGGGATGGTTGTGTCATATGCATGACTATCTCCACGGAGCCTTATGATGAACTTGATCCCAAACCTGGGTATGACCATGACAAAACTTTATTCCTGAACTTGATGTAACCTTATCAGTAGCCAATGAGTCACTTTATTGTTCTGATTTTATTTTTAAGTTGCTCTATATGGCATTGGTTTGAGGAGTCTAGAAGTTGCTGAGTCAGTTAGGTACCGGAATTTTTGCCTTACTACACTGGCGCAACTCAGGGACCAGTAAGAGAGCCTGGATATTAATTGTACTTAATGTAACCAACTTGAGCTTACCAATATCAGTCATGCTTTGGTTGTGTTAACTATATTTTCACTAAGACGTTCTGCTTTAATTCTGATTCTTGATTTAATTCTATTAACCCCTTCTAGTTGCTCAGTTGAAACATGAAACTTACTGTTCTTAGTATATTGTGGCCATCCGAGGCATTTTTATCTGAGCTAATTCTATGGTTTCTGGCTAAGATCAATGCTGCTGTTCTGAATTTGAATGACTATTATACAAATCTGGATGTTCAATTGCTATTTGGAATCTTTTCATGATAGATGTCTTTTCTTAAAAAGTTAAGGGAGTTTTGATGCGCTACGTTGATACAGCACCCACAAGTTGAGAAAGTTATCTTTGGATTTAGCTTTTTACTGCTAGTTTATCTGAATATGATTGCAGCTGTCTATGTTGGGGATAATGGGAATTTTCTCTGATGGTTGGTTTGTTGCTGCTATTTGCTCATTGTCACATTCGTTCATAACATAACATTTTGTATGCTGCATTACTACGGCAGTGCTTTGACTTGAATTTGGTGTGGTTTTCAGGCCTGTGAGTGACTACAATGAGATTACAAGCCACTTCATCGAGTGTATATATGTTCATATCTACAACACCAATCTACGGGTACTAATCTAAGTGGTGCTCTGATTTTTTTACGTGCCCTTATAATTGATATCGATATGAATACATATGTTCAACATAAGGCAGAGTTAGCTGTTTCTCTCATGGAATTTGAATTTATTCTGATAAATTACAGGCAGGTATTATGTCTCAGCCCCAGATGACAAATGCTACTGTTATTAATACCCCTTTAAAGGAATATCAAACTGTTCCCTCTAATCAGGTAAAGGATCTCAAAATTGAAAAATGATTTTGCTTAGTTTGGTTTGGTCCATTGTGTGGTCCTCCTAAGGTTTATCATTTTCTCAGTTCTCTGGCCAGTATAGCTCTGATGGAGGCAAGAGCATTGATCAGATTGTCTTGAATTTTTTGCAGAGACCTGAGTGCCTGTAAGTTATATTCTACATTCTCTAATCTTGAAATTGCCTTGCTGCCTTTCATGCCACGACTATTGTAAACGTAGCAAAAGTTGTTTCCTCTGTTGTTTCATTTTTTTTTCTTTTCCTACCTCCTTTGCTTGTGGAGAATTTATTTTCATTAGCGCTTACGTTGACATCATGTTTTCACTGCTTGATAAATTGATTACATTGATTCTGAACAAGCCAAGTACTACAAGTTACTTTGTCGAATGGGTAACTATGATAATGTTCACAGAGTTTTCATTTGATTAGTGAATTTTAAAAAGATGGATCTAGAAATCTCAGTATTAAATTTTTGAGTGTAATATGATAAGTTCTTTTTGGAACTTGTGTAAAGGTGTTATTGTAAATGCATTCTCCAGAGGTATCTAATGCATGTGGAAACTCTCTCCTATTTGCTCTTTTTTTTTCCTACCCATTTTTTTAGTTAACAATGAACTTGAACTGGAAACTCAAATCCAAGTTCATTTTCCAAGGCAAATCATTATGTTGCAATTTATAATCAAAACTGACAAAAGATTGGACTTTCTATATCTTACATGTGTTCTTGAATTTATCATTTTATGATTTGTCTTAATGTCATAAAATTGTTTAATAAAACTTGTGCTCCAGAGATAGAAATGTCGAGCATACATGAAAATTTATGAATTTCAACATTATTTGGCTAATTTTGATTCCTTGTTCCAAGTTTATAGTTCATGATTAACTTTATATTTCATTGAGTCTGCTAATTCTGTCATTTTTTTTTTTTTTTACAGCGCAATTAACAATGGGGTACATCGCAACGATATTGCTAAACAACTTAATCTTCCAATGGATAAGCTCATGTATGTCTCTGTCTCTCTCTCTCTTGAGTTGCACATGTGCGATGAAACATCATAACTGAAGATTTGTTCTTTTTTTACTCTGACAGGGAAGTTTTAGAATACCTTAGCGAAAATAGTTTAGTTTACTCAATTGATGAGGTTCACTACAAGTCAGCTGTCAATGCATGACGTCTACATGTGCAAATAATGCCAATCAAGATGGTTTAAGCTTGAACTATGCCATGCTGCATCTCATCACCATTGCTGAGCAAGTTTTTTGCAATTTTTTTTGGGTGGTATGATGTCGTGCTTGAAATATAGCTATAAGATGTGGCCTGGTGTATTTCTATAAGTCAAATAGCGTTGTTTTAATAAACAGCATTGCGACATGATTTCTGCATAATATGTGATCATCTGTCACTCCACGTAATATCCAGAAGGATTTGTTGACGTTGTGTACAGAATGCTTTATGTTTTTGGATGGAAACAATGTCAGCAGAATTTGACATTCTGATTTGTACAAGTTTCTTGTGATATTATATCTCGTAAGTTTCTTGACTATCTAGATTGTAGGATACAGCACGAGTCTTTAGTAAGAACTCATTGAGCACTTAGTAAAGGTAGAAAAGAATGAGTCTTATGACCTCTTGGAAGTATATCAATGCCTTTACATGAATTTACACTGGCCTGAGGACTTTGTGGTTGGTACAAGGCTCTGGAAATGAATCAGAAATCTATACGGTAATGTTATCACAATCGCTAAGTTTACTTGTTGAAAGCACAAATGCTAAGATTATTATGTTAGTTTGGTAATGTTATCGAATCTCGACAATCATTAAATTGACATTATCCTTTTTTATACCGAAGGCATTGCTAGGTGAAGATACAAATGCCAGATTTCATTCTGGTATCTCTGTGCTAGGTAACAGGGTGAAATCTAAATCTGTGAATTTCTGAAATGATGAAATCGATTTTTCTTTTCGGCGTGGATTCTCCCTCTCAGGCCACTGCTGCCCCGATCACTCCTTCTCCCTTTCCAAAGTAACTCTCTTTCCGCCTTCCTCCTTTTTTTTTTTTTTATATTTTGTTTTTAGTCCTGTTTAATTTCATAGAAAGTTGTTAGTTTTATGATTAATTGCTGTATTAGTATTAATAGCGTAATTGTGCAAAGGCTTCAAAGAATTTGACAAGCTTTAATTTTTACAGTAGATTTTGTTTTTATTTGCTAAGATGAACTAACCGAGTTTTTTTTTTTTTTTTTTTTTCTCTACTTTGGGATTATTGAACTATTTAATTGTATGAATACAATATGAGCACTATATATGTGTTTAAAGTTGATATTTTCTTGGTACCAAAATGATGGAGGAGTACTCTGTTTGGCTGCCAAGAAAATGGAGGAAAATGGACTCAATACTTTTTATTTTACGGTGATTAAAACATAAATACTAATGTTGCGATTGCTGAATGGTGAAAACTAGAGAGAATTTTTAGATTAGACTGAGATTTAATGTAGTTTCTTTTTTTCTTTAGACTATTTTTCAATGGCTACAAGGTTTCCTTAATTTTTTTTTTTTTTTTTTTTTTTTTTTTTTTTTTTTTTTTTGGTGATGTGTGCAATTTTTTCTAATACATTCATATTTTGCAGAATCTGTCCGACTTGCTTCCTTTGACTGTGAAGCAGCTAAATGAAATATCAAGTATGATGAATCGACTACTACAATTGATGGGGTTGACGTCAGCACTGTAAGTTTCACGGAAACTTGATTTTGCAGTAATTTTTTTTTTTTTTCCTATTTTTCTTTGGTTGGTTTTTTGAGTTTGAATTTGGTTAGGTTACAATTGTTGGGAAGGTATGTGATATACAAGATAAGGAACCCCAGTTTACCTTCCTTATTGACGATGGCACAGGGCAGATTGAATGCAGTGATGGTCAGTTTTGGCATATTATTTTTTTTCGTATTGAAGTTTAATTGCCAGCCTTTTTCATTTAAAATCTTGATTCTGTGCCACTATTGTATTTTTGTGTTTCTGTAGGCTCATGAACGCTTGAGTTCAACGAAGTAAACCAAATCTCGTATGTCTATGTTTTTGTAGTTGCAATATCCCTTCTCCTTATTAAAGGTTAACAATGTGTTAGTTTTCTTATTGGGACTATGAATGTTTTCTTTATGTTCTTTGATCTTGTTCTGTATTTATTTATTTATTTGGTGGGGGTTGGAGTTGAAAACAGAAATGGCCGCTGTAAGATCTTTGCTTTCTCCAATCAATTGGATTTGGGGCTTTGAACTGTTATAGGAATTTGTATAATTACTATGTGTGCCTCGATAAGCGAACGTGCTTTAGTTTTAATTTTTGTGTTTGTAATATTTTGTTAGGCAAGGAATGTATGTCCGTGTTTATGGACACTTGAGATCCTTTCAGAATAGAGGACCTTAAATGCCTATTCCATGAGGTAATGATTCAACTTTTACCTTTGTTACATTTGTGCTGTGATATTTAATTAACCATTTTCTGATCGATTCTTTCTCCTTCCTTATCATCGCTATAACTATTACTGCTACTATTATTATTACATTATTTTGAGGGGAGAGGATTGACAATACTCGATGGCTTACCCTCTCCTCTCTCACCCCCATCCTTTGTTGGGCTGCATAGTTTCTTCTTCACATATATTTAACACGTCTTTTTAAAAGAAATTTACATCTCTGTTATATAATTCCATTATTGGAGCAAGGGGATGGTTGTGTCATATGCATGACTATCTCCACGAGCCTTATGATGAACTTGATCCCAAACCTGGGTATGACCATGACAAAACTTTATTCCTGAACTTGATGACCTTATCTTAGCCAATGAGTCACTTTATTGTTCTGATTTTATTTTTAAGTTGCTCTATATGGCATTGGTTTGAGGAGTCTAGAAGTTGCTGAGTCAGTTAGTACCGGATTTTTTGCCTTACTACACTGGCGCAACTCAGGGACCATAAGAGAGCCTGGATATTAATTGTACTTAATGTAACCAACTTGAGCTCACCAATATCAGTCATGCTTTGGTTGTGTTAACTATTTTTCACTAAGACGTTCTGCTTTAATTCTGATTCTTGATTTAATTCTATTAACCCCTTCTAGTTGCTCAGTTGAACCATGAAACTTACTGTTCTTAGTATATTGTGCCATCCGAGGCATTTTTATCTGAGCTAATTCTATGTCGCTGGCTAAGATCAATGCTGCTGTTCTGAATTTGAATGACTTATACAAATCTGGATGTTCAATTGCTATTTGGAATCTTTTCATGATAGATGTCTTTTCTTAAAAAGTTAAGGGAGTTTTGATGCGCTACGTTGATACAGAAGAATCAAAAGAAAGCAATTATGGGAAATAATATATACACATGTAATTACTGAAGAAGAAGAACTAAAAAAAGGAATGTCTTGAAGAGGAAACAGAATAGAGAGGGAAATCAAGAGAGATTTTTTCTTTTCTTTATTTAATTTAATTCAATTATAAATATTATTGTATTTGATAACATGAAGATTTAGGAATGTTGCCTAATTAAGAGTTAATAAAACTTTCAAGTTAATATATTAAAAGATATAGAAATAAATTATACTTAATCAAATAGATTTTATTCTTAAATAAAAAATAAAAAGACGTTTTTTTTTAAATAATATTTTACAATAAAAAATTGAAAATAGAAATAAATTTGGCGGGAATCCGGCTAAGTTTGGGTTTATTTCCTCATTCTTAAAATATTTCTATTTTTCAATTCCTTTTAAACCCCTCAAGTTTGTTAATTTAACTAAATACCTAAAAAAATTTAGAAATTAACAAAAACACCCCACCAACCCACGTTTGTCAAATTTCAACCACCACCGTCGGAAGGTGGCCAAAATATGGTATAATGGTGCACTACCAGCTAGATCTAGCCGGTAGTACATCGATTTAGCCTTTTTTGATCAAATTCATCGTGGATCTAACCGAAAAATATCAGATCTATGACCAGATCTTTGGTCGTAGTCAGTCATTGATGACCAAACGTGGTTAGATTTGATCGTCAATGGCCAGGTCTAGTCGTAGATCTGGTCTTTACTGGTCAGATACCTGGTAGATCTGGTCGAAAAATGTCATATTGGTGCATGACCGATCAGATTCAGTCGGTCATACGTCGATACGACAACTCTGGTCACCCTCCGATAGTGGTGGTCGACAGTCGATATTTAATGAATAGGTAAGGATATTTTTATTAATTTTTAATATTTTATTATAAGAGTGTTTAGTAAATTAATAAACTTAAGAATACATTTTTGTTAATTTCTAAAACTTACGTGTTGTAATAACCATCTAAATTTACTTTTTGTCAAAATATTATCCTGAAACGTATCATAATAATGAACAAAGCGCACCCAACTCCTGTAAATAAAAAAAAGTATTAAAATATATAAGCAAATAGTTATCCCACATAAATCAAACACTCACAAAGAAGCCCAAAAAAGCAAAAATCGAAAATTAAAATAAATGTATTCAGGCCAATTCGACGGAGCCGCCACCTTCTCCGGCGGTGGAATTCATGCCCTCTCAGGCCCCTGCTGCCCCCTCCACTCCTTCTCTCTTTCCAAAGTAACTCCTTTCCGCCTTCCTCCCTTTTTTTTTTTTATATTTTAGTTTTTAGTCTCTGTTTATTTCATAGGAAAGTTGTTAGTTTATGATTAATTTGCTGTATTAGTATTAATAGCGTAATTAGTGCAAAGGCATTCAAAGAATTGACAAAGCTTTAATTTTTACAGTAAGATTTTGTTTTTATTGTTGCAAGATGAACTAAACCGAGTTTTTGTTTTTTTTTTTTTTTTCTTCTACTTTGGGATTATTGAACTATTTAATTGTAGAATACAATAGGAGCACTATAAGTATGTGTTTAAAGTGATATTTTCTTGGTACCAAAATGATGGAGGATACTCTGTTTGGCTGCCAAGAAAATGGAGGAAAATGGACTCAATACTTTTTATTTTACGGTGAGTTAAACATAAATACTAATGTTGCGATTGCTGAATGGTGAAAACTAGAGAGAATTTTAGATTAGACTGAGATTTATAATGTAGATTTCTTTTTTTCTTTAGACTATTTTTCAATGGCTAACAAGTTTCCTTAATTTTTTTTTTTTTTTTTTTTTTTTTTTTTTTTTTTTTTTTTGGTGATGGTGCAATTTTTTCTAATACATTCATATTTTGCAGAATCGAAATGTCCGGACTTGCTTCCTTTGACTGTGAAGCAGCTAAATGAAATATCAAGTAATGATGAATCGACTACTACAATTGATGGGGTTGACGTCAGCACTGAAAGTTTCACGGAAACTTGATTTTGCAGTAATTTTTTTTTTTTTTCCTATTTTTCTTTGGTTGGTTTTTTGAGTTTGAATTTGGTTAGGTTACAATTGTTGGGAAGGTATGTGATTATACAGATAGGAACCCCAGTTTACCTTCCTTATTGACGATGGCACAGGGCCGATTGAATGCAGTAGAGGGGTCAGTTTTGGCATATTTTTTTTTTTCGTATTGAAGTTTAATTGGCCACCTTTTTCATTAAAATCTTGATTCTGTGCCACTATTGTATTTTTGTGTTTCTGTAGGGCTCATGAACGCTTGGAGTTCAACGAAGTAAACCAATCTCGTATGTGTCTATGTTTTTGTAGTTGCAATATCCCTTCTCCTTTAAAAGTTAACAATGTTGTTAGTTTTCTTATGGGACTATGAGATGTTTTCTTTATGTTCTTTGATCTTGTTCTGTATTTATTTTTATTTTTGGTGGGGGGTGTAGTTGAAAACAGAAATGGCGCTGTAAATCTTTGCTTTCTCCCCAATCAATTGGATTTGGGGCTTTGAACTGTTATAGGAATTTGTATAATTACTATGTGTGCCTCGATAAGCGACAACTGCTTTAGTTTTAATTTTATGTGTTTGTAATATTTTTGTTAGGCAAGGAATGTATGTCCTTGTTATGACACTTGAGATCCTTTCAGAATAAGAGGACCTTAAATCCCTATTCCATGGTAATGTTTCAACTTTTACCTTTGTTACATTTGTGCTGTATATTATTAACCATTTTCTGATCGATTCTTTCTCCTCCTTACATCACGTTAACTATTACTTACTATTATTATTATCATTATTTTGAGGGGAGAGGATTGACAATACTCATGGCTTACCCTCTCCTCTCACCCCCATACTTTGTTGGGCTGCATAGTTTCTCTTCACATATATTTAACACGGTCTTTTTAAAAGAAAATTTACATCTCTGTTAATATATTCCATTATTGGAGCAGGGGATGGTTGTGTCATATGCAGGACTATCTCCACGGAGCCTTATGATGAACTTGATCCCAAACCTGGGTATGACCATGACAAAACTTATTCCTGAACTGATGGAAACCTTATCAGTACCAATGAGTCACTTTATTGTTCTGATTTTATTTTTAAGTTGCTCTATATGGCATTGGTTTGAGGAGTCTAGAAGTTGCTGAGTCGTTAGGTACCGGAATTTTTGCCTTACTACACTGGCGCAACTCAGGACCAGTAAGAGAGCCTGATATTAATTGTACTTAATGTACACAACTTGAGCTACCAATATCAGTCATGCTTTGGTTGTGTTAACTATATTTTCACTAAGACGTTCTGCTTTAATTCTGATTCTTGATTTAATTCTATTAACCCCTTCTAGTTGCTCAGTTGAACCATGACTTACTGTTCTTAGTATATTGTGGGCCATCCGAGGCATTTTTATCTGACTAATTCTATGGTCGCTGGCTAAGATCAATGCTGCTGTTCTGATTTGAATGACTATTATACAAATCTGGATGTTCAATTGCTATTTGGAATCTTTTCATGATAGATGTCTTTTCTAAAAAAGTTAAGGGTTTTGATGCGCTACGTTGATACAGCACCCACAAGTTGAGAAATTTATCTTGGATTTAGCTTTTTACTGCTAGTTTATCTGAATATGATTGCAGCTGTCTATGTTGGGGATAATGGGAATTTTCTCTGATGGTTGGTTTGTTGCTGCTATTTGCTCATTGTCACATTCGTTCATAACATACATTTTGTATGCTCATTACTACGGCAGTGCTTTGACTTGAATTTGGTGTGGTTTTCAGGCCTGTGAGTGACTACAATGAGATTACAAGCCACTCATCGAGTGTATATATGTTCATATCTACAACACACATCTACGGGTACTAATCTAAGTGGTGCTCTGATTTTTTTACGTGCCCTTAATTGATATCGATATGAATACAATGTTCAACATAAGCAGAGTTAGCTGTTTCTCTCAGGAATTTGAATTTATTCTGATAAATTACAGGCAGGTATTATGTCTCAGCCCCAGTGACAAATGCTACTGTTATTATACCCTTTAAGGAATATCAAACTGTTCCCTCTAATCAGGTAAAGGATCTCAAAATTGAAAAATGATTTTGCTTAGTTTGGTTTGGTCCTTGTGTGGTCCTCCTAAGGTTTTCATTTTCTCAGTTCTCTGGCCAGTATAGCTCTGATGGAGGCAAGAGCATTAATCAGATTGTCTTGAATTTTTTGCAGAGACCTGAGTCCTGTAAGTTATATTCTCATTCTCTAATCTTGAAATGCCTTGCTGCCTTCATGCCACACTATGTAAACGTAGCAAAAGTTGTTTCCTCTGTTTTTCTATTTTTTTTTTTTCCTACCTCCTTTGCTTTGTGAGAATTTATTTTATTAGCGCTTACTTGACATCATGTTTTCACTGCTTGATAAATTGATTACATTGATTCTGAACAAGCCAAGTACTACAAGTTACTTTGTCGAATGGGTAACTATGATAATTTTCAAGAGTTTTCATTGATTAGTGAATTTTAAAAAGATGGATCTAGAAATCTCAGTATTAAATTTTTGAGTGTAATATGATAAGTTCTTTTTGGAACTTGTGTAAGGTGTTATTGTAAATGCATTCTCCAGAGGTATCTAATGCATGTGGAAACTCTCCTATTTGCTCTTTTTTTTTCCTACCCATTTTTTTAGTTAACAATGAACTTGAACTGGAAACTCAAATCCAAGTTCGTTTTCCAAGGCAATCATTATGTTGCATTTATATCAAAACTGACAAAAGATTGGACTTTCTATATCTTACGTGTTCTTGAATTTATCATTTTATGATTTGTCTAATGCATAAAATTGTTTATAAAACTTGTGCTCCAAGATAGAAATGTCAAGCATACATGAAAATTTATGAATTCAACATTATTTGGCTAATTTGTGCTTCCTTGTTCCAAGTTTATAGTTCATGATTAACTTTATATTTCATTGAGTCTGCTAATTCTGTATATTGATGTTTTTTTTTTTTTTTTTTTTTTTTTCAGCGCAATTAACAATGGGGTACATCGCAACGATATTGCAAACAACTTAATCTTCCAAGGATAAGCTCATGTATGTCTCTCTCTCTCTCTCTCTCTGAGTTGCACATGCGCGTGAAATATCATAACTGAAGATTTGTTTCTTTTTTTACTCTGACAGGGAAGTTTTAGAATACCTTAGCGAAAATAGTTTAGTTTACTCAATTGATGAGGTTCACTACAAGTCAGCTGTCAATGCATGACGTCTACATGTGCAAATAATGCCAATCAAGATGGTTTAAGCTTGAACTATGCCATGCTGCATCTCATCACCATTGCTGAGCAAGTTTTTTGCAATTTTTTTTGGGTGGTATGATGTCGTGCTTGAAATATAGCTATAAGATGTGGCCTGGTGTATCTCTATAAGTCAAATAGCGTTGTTTTAATAAACAGCATTGCGACATGATTTCTGCATAATATGTGATCATCTGTCACTCCACGTAATATCCAGAAGGATTTGTTGACGTTGTGTACAGAATGCTTTATGTTTTTGGATGGAAACAATGTCAGCAGAATTTGACATTCTGATTTGTACAAGTTTCTTGTGATATTATATCTCGTAAGTTTCTTGACTATCTAGATTGTAGGATACAGCACGAGTCTTTAGTAAGAACTCATTGAGCACTTAGTAAAGGTAGAAAAGAATGAGTCTTATGACCTCTTGGAAGTATATCAATGCCTTTACATGAATTTACACTGGCCTGAGGACTTTGTGGTTGGTACAAGGCTCTGGAAATGAATCAGAAATCTATACGGTAATGTTATCACAATCGCTAAGTTTACTCGTTGAAAGCACAAATGCTAAGATTATTATGTTAGTTTGGTAATGTTATCGAATCTCGACAATCATTAAATTGACATTATCCTTTTTTATACCGAAGGCATTGCTAGGTGAAGATACAAATGCCAGATTTCATTCTGGTATCTCTGTGCTAGGTAACAGGGTGAAATCTAAAACTGTGAATTTCTGAAATGATGAAATCGATTTTTCTTTTCTTGGGGTAGAATTAAATATATATAATATTATCCGAAAATTCTCAAGTGCAAATATTCTGAAGTTTTGAACGTGCGAGTTATATCTCAATTACTTGTCGTTGGCTTTGATTATTGATTTTTGATTTGTATATTAAATATTTTTAAACGTCTGTATCCAATCAAGCCTATGTTCAATGTTACTAGTCCTGTACAGCATTTCATTTTTAAGGTATCAAATTGTCAATGCCGGTTCGGTATCACAGAAAAAAAATCATGTATATCAACATGATCTGATTAAGAAGCCAAAAAGTTTGAATAATAGACGGTTAGACTTGATTGGACCGACATCGGCTACCTTACTGAACACAAAGTTAAAATATAGAATGTAAAAATAATAAAATAAGTAAAAAAAATCATAAAAAGAATAGTATCTAACCCGAAAATGAAAAAAAATAAAAAATAGATAAATAGAAAAGGGTCATGTGACAAGTGAAAGTGATGATCAAGTAATAATAAAATAAAGGCAGCGAACGTGAGGAATGATTCGTTTCACTAACATTGTCTGACTCTGACCATCAACCCTAATCCCTTTGAAAAATTCAGATTAGACAGCCATTGCCTTGCTGTATTTTACTGGCATTTTTTAATCTTATTACTTAATTACTATTATTAATTAACCCCTGCTTTTGCTTTTAAGCCATATATTAAACAAGGGTTAAATCTTATTTTATTTTATTTATTAGTCGGTTTGAAACGTTTGACTCTGCTACTTGTCTTAAAATAAGATTGTTATTCATTTCTGGGTGGTAAGTAGTTTGATAAGGACTTTTGAATATATTACTTAAGAGATTCTGAGTTTAAGTCCTTCTTCGGATGCTAATAAGAATAGTCATTAGAACTTTTATCCAACCAGTAATTTTAAGGTCTAAAAGATTAACTGAATTGTACGTAAGCTAGCCCGAATATCTCCAGTAAAAATAAATAAAAAATCTTCTACGCTATTTATAATATGTAAAATTGTTGACATAATTTTATAAAGTCGTTTGATCTGAATGCTACATATCAAACATAAACTAGATAACGGAATGAAAAGACTTAAAGAGTTAGAAAATCTTGATTCCGATAAATTTTAAGGAATTAATTTGATTGGAAAAAAAGAATTAAATCTTGTGTAAAAAGAACAAAGTTTAGAACTCCAGCGTCAAGATAGGGTGCTTAAAGATGAAATGGGATTAATGATGTTTAATTAAAGGTTTGAAGTGCACTAGTAAGATATATAACTTTAAAGTACTTTAATTAGTAAGAAAGAGTTAATTATTTTATTTTTAGTTTAAGATATTTAATGGTAACTTACTCATATGGTATGAGAATAAGTTTGACTATATATAATAATTCCTTTGTTTGAATCTGTATTTAATGATCCACGTAAACAATCCAAAAAAATTATTCTTCCACATGAAGAAATCTCTAAACTTTATTAAATATTGTTCATTAGGTCCTTCAATTTATAGGATTAATTACTTGTTAATTAATTAATGATTACATGAATATCACCAAACAAAAGCATTCTCCACATGATACATCCTAAATACACGTTTAAAATTATGCTAAATAAACAGAAAACACTTTTTTTTAAATTAATATACTCAAAATATTTGTCCAACATATATGAACCTTGTTTATTGGAATTATGTAATGGTTAACTACCATCGTGAATTAAAAGACAAAAAACAAAAATGAAAAATCATCAAAAAAAAATTAATATTGAAAATTGTAAAATTTTGTTTTTTAATATTTGTTATCATTGTTAAATGCTAGTTTGCATATTAAAAAACGTACATAATCCACACCTAAAAATGCAAATATTCTAAAGTTTTTAGCATACAGATCAAAGATTAACGTCCAGTCGCTACCTTTACAAAATATAAAACAAAAAATCAACAACTAATCAGTCATCTTTAATTCTCATGTCAAGAATTTCAAGAAATCTACTTTCGGAAAACAAAAAAAAAAGGGTATATATATATTTTTTGAATAGTACTACATGCAGTTTTTGTAAAGAAAGTTAAATGCGAAAAAGAAAAGAAACACTCTAGGTAGCCGAACTCACACTATGTAAAGAAAGTCAAAAATGAAAACTCAGGGGCAAAAAAGAAAGGAACACTCTAGCCGAACTCCCATATAACTTTAATTGCCTAGTGTAAAAGCACTTTTTAAATAATCTGCTAAATTAGCATGAATGTAGAAGCATTTTTCCCTTTAATTAATGAATGAACAATACATAATCCAGGTTTCGAGGGGTCTCAGGATAGAGCTAAGTTGAGACACCTAATCATCTTTCATGTGCATTTTGAGTAGCCACTTTGCTTTGTCTCGCAGATAAACAGAGAGCCGTTGCCAAAATGAGTGGAGTAGTTGGTTAATTGATTGATTTGTTTTGAAGAAGACGATTAATAGAGGCAGCATGAGACAGCATATTGCGTTAAAACTTGAGACATGTAGGCGCAGCCTCCGGAGTGGAGGTGGCCATTGTGGAGGTTGATGATGACTGACGGATGAGATCTTCTCTTCAATATTTATTTATTTATATACCTATCCCTAATATTATTAATAATACATGCATGCGCTTATTTTGCATTTATGATACATGAATTTTCTCGGATAAGAAGGCCTACAAAAATCCAGACTTCAATTAATTAACTCTTAGTAGAACTAGAAAGAGTCGTTGAAATATAAAATTTCTCCTTTCGTATTTTGAAGTTGATGGAAGTTTGAAAGATTTGGTCATCCTTTAGTCCATGAGCGTTTAAATAATAATGTTGTTGATACTTGATTTTGACATAAATGACTCACACGTGTAAAATGTTAAATACTCTTAAAAATTACACGTGAATGATTGATATAATCAAATACAAAGACTAAATAATAAATGAGAAATGGTTTTTAAAGTGATTCGGATGCTTAAAACGAATCTCACATCTACTGTTCTTTTATATATGAGAGATTACAAGAGATCACATACAACGAATCTCAAGTCAGTCTACCTGAATACAATAACTAAGTATTCAGATAAAATCTCAAATCAGTCTTTTTCTCGTAAGTTATCTTTGCTCTGAAAGTTAAATATTGAAATAAGAATAAGGGTTCAGTATCAGAATCCAGAAAATGAGAGGGGAAGTCATCTATTTATAGTAGAGGAATTCAAGGTAATGATTACAAATCTACAAGTGGGTAGGTACTGTACAAGTCATTCCTTGTGTCCCATTGACTGATAACTTAGAAAATATCCTCAAATTATCTGGAGTTTGGACAGGTGTGCGGCTCTTGTTCACTCATAGACAAAACCTGAATCTATCAAGTTGGTGATAGTCATACTCTTCCTGTCTTGGGGCGACGTGGCAACTCCTAGACAGCGCAAAGCCTTCCTGAACTCTGAGTGGTGCTTACTATGTAAGTTTACGTCAACCCTGACTTTTTAGGCATAATAAATGTAAACTTTGTAATAGTACAGAAAAAAATGTATCGAATATATGAATGTCTACAATTATTTCAAAATCTACACTTCAATACTTGATAAAAGGAGTAGTTTACTGAAAAAAAATATATATATATTTCTATCCAACTCCTTTTATATTCAAAAGTTTATAGAAATTTATAAAATTTTCTCGCTTTATAACAAAATCTTTCTATTAAATAGATGAAATCCAGATTGTAGAATAATGCAAAATTTGTACATGGACAAAGGCAAAAGTTTGGTTTGTTTCGGCTTTGGTTGTTTCTTTATTTTTTATTTTTTATTTTTTATTTTAATTGTTGATTATTGTTGCTTTTGAGTAATATGTTCAGATTGGGAAGCGATTGCGTGCTATATAATAATGTTACATTTGTGGTGGCAAGCTTTAAACTTTAGTGGATAAATATATACAAATAATTTTAGATTCACATTATGGACATTACAAAATCTTATCTCCCAATTATTAAATAATTAATTTGAAGTCAAAAGAATAACACTTGTTGCCGATGTTGAAAACTAGTGTGAAAACAAGTGAAGTTTGTTGAGTATAATTTTGTGCAAATTGTACATAAATAACTGTATATAAAATCTTATTCAAAATTTGGATTTAAAATGCAACCTAATAATAATAAACACTTGATATTATAGACATAAATGATGATACAAATCCGACCAAGTAAAAATAAATACAGAACACTAATCACTTATGTTGAGTGAAGCTTCAAACGGTGTCGTATTGGACTATCTTATACGCTACCGTTTTGGAGTTAAGTTAAATGACAGATCTTAGCCATTGAATCCAGCTTAATCCGACGGTGTAAAACAGCCCAGATAATCAACTTATTTAAAGTTGAGTTTCACAGAAAGAAAAAAAATAGATCAAGATACTCTCTCTCGTGTTCTTCGGCTGTGCTAGGGTTTCTTAGTATAGTTTCTCTTCAATTTGTAATCGGGTCACAGTTTGTTGTTAAAATTGTGGATAGAAGAAGTAGTAGATTCTTCTGGTAGAGACACTTTGTATCAGTTGTCTTGTTGTGGTGATTACGGG